AGTGTGATAAGGCAGGTGCCTCTGCTGTGCAGAGCTGTATTTTGTTCTTCTTGCTTGCTTTGGGAGGTTGCAAGAAATCCAGACCATCAGAGACTCTTCTTAGAACTCAGTGTCTATTGACACAGGAGTGGATCCCTGCATCAATGGCCTACTCGATGCTGAGCTTTGACCTGGGTGTGGTGTCAAAGCAGGAAGCTTGCAGTATAGTGATGGAACCCCAGGTATTCACAGTAAATCTGATGGAAGCCATTAAGGTAAAGTGGTACCCTACTGGGAACCCATGCGTAGAGCTGTCTGCAGAGGGGCTGGGGGCTAGGTAGTGGCCAAGGGGTGGGCCAAAGCTTCTGAATGGGTTCATAACCAGCTTTAGTGTGGCCAAGAAGAGAAAAAATGAGACTTATGGGACATGTGAGTTTTGAGCAGAAAGTAGAGATTTGAAGGAAAGAGGAAATAGGGTTGGGTGGTTTACCAGTTTTAGATTGAAGGTCCAGAGATACTGACTGAAGGAGAGGCTCAAGAACGGGCTGAGGCTGATGACAGCTGAGAAGAGAGCCCTGGAGCCATGGGAGGTGGTTGGGGGAGATACCTGGGGTGGTGTAGTGGCAAGAAAGCCTAGAGAGAGGGGTCGTGATGATAGGTAACAAAAGAAGATGCTACTGAGTGGTTTGTCTAGGATTTAGGTTGGTGGCACAACAGGACTTGAGAGGGTTCAAGACTTGAGCACTTCTTGCCGTGAGGTGGGAATGGACCTGTTGGGAACCAGTTTTTCAGTCACTTTCTCTTGGGAAACTTTAGGATAAATCATTCAGCCCTTTGGACCTGATGTACTTCCTCTTGCTGAGATGGAGAGAGGAATCTTTGCATCTTCTTCACAAACCCTCTAGGCTGTGACGACAGGTACCATCTGTCTGTGGGAGGCAAGGACCTCAGGTGGATCGGAGGGGGCTGCTCTTGCCCTGGAAGGAAGGAGGGGACCGGCTGGGGGATGCGTCACCATGGACACCACCCAACTGTTTGATCCCTGGAGCTGCCGTTCCAGCACACGTCTGTGGAAACCCTGAGCTCCTCATTCCCTCTCATGACACTCCCCTGAGTGTTGCTCTCCACCCACACCACGTGTGTATGAAACCAGCATAAACAGAAAGCAGCTTGACACATTGAACAATACCCTTGGAACACACGTTGCAGCCGCGACCGCAAGATCGCTCCATTTAATCAGCTGGGCATGCCCAGATGCTTCACACAGGCACAAGCCTCTGTTTTCAGGAATGGAAAGCTGCAGCATTTTGTGGGTCTGGAAGTCACAGACATGAGCACGAAACAAAACAAAAAGCTTCAAGATCCCTGCCTGGCAGACTGCTGTCCTCCAGTACCTCCTTGGGGTTATCACAAGGTAGCCAAAGGTGTTGTAGGAGATGTGAGTTTGAGCCCTGGGCTGGGAAGATCCCCTGGAGAAGGAAATGGCAACCCACTCCAGTATTCCTGCCAGGGAGATCCCATGGACAAAGGAGCCTGGCGGGCTACGCAAAGAGTCAGACACAACTTAGTGACTAAACAACAACAAAGCCAAAGACACAGGTCACTGGGTAACTGCCAGGGGTGGCTGTGTGCCCTGGCCAAGTGGCCGACTCTAGAGTGGAGGGGTTGTGACCCTCAGCCTGCATCACCCAACCCATCTCAGGGCCTTAGGAATCCCTGCTTGAGGGCTCCGGATTCAGGGTTGTTGCCTTGGCCCTGTCGGTTTCTTTCATAAAATCCATGTTGACTGAACACAATCAGGAGAGACAGAGAGGAGATTGGAGGACTGGGATTTTGAACTTTTCATTTGGAATTGTAGTCTGGAGGAGGGTAGGGGCAGTGGCTTAGTTTCCAGCTGTTTTTAGTTCCAACAAAATGGCTATTTCCTTAGTCTGACATGTGGCCTAATCCTCAGGCTTTGGGTAGGCAGGCAAGTCACTCATTCTCCATGCTCACCTCCGGGTTTGGTCTGTTTCCCCTTTCTGTCTAATCCTGTGGGGTCACACCTGCTGTGGCCATCCTAGTCCCTCTCTGAAGGTTTAACTCTGGGGGTGAGGTTAAACCTTCTGATGATCCATCATGAAAGAAATAGTAGAGTCCCCTAGCTCAAACCTCTCACCATCCAGTTGGAAAGAAGACTCTGTGTTTTGAGAAAGAGATTTAAGAGAATATATAATTCAGTTCCATTCTGTGGTGCTGAAGAAGACTCTTGAGAGTCCCTTGGACTGCAAGGAGATCAAACCGGTCAATCCCAAAGGGAATAAACCTTGAATATTCATTGGAAAGACTAATGCTGAAGCTGAAGCTCCAGTACTTTGGCCACCTGATGTGAAGAGCTGAGTGCCTGGAAAAGACCCTGATGCTGGGAAAGATTGAGGTCAAGAGGAAAAGGAGGCAACAGAGGATAAGATGGTTCGATGGCATCACCGACTCAATGGACATGAGTTTGAGCAGAGTCTGGGAGATGGTGAAGGACAGGGCAGCCTGGTGTGCCACAGTCTGTGGAGTCACAAAGAGTCAGACAGAACTGAGAAACTGAACAAATTTATTGGGCATCATTGCTATGTTTATTTGTGATTATTGTTTTAGGTGCTAACGTGATGAAAAAGATAGATGTGAACTGACTGTGAGTGATTAGATAATTTACCATCTAACCTAGCACCCTCTTGAGAGTGAAAGGGAGCATTATTAATAGTTACACTGAGTGTACCAGTCAGCTACTGTCACAATAATGCTGCATAACAAACCATCCCCAAATCAACAGCTTACAATAGCGGTCATTTATTTTTCTTGCTTAAGTGTCTGTAGGTTGAATGGAAAAGGTCTGCTTCAGGCTGAGGGTTGGCTGGGCTGGGCTCCAGGCTTCAGACCGCGATTAGGTCTCCGTAGGTCTGCATGCTGTCAGTGGATCAGAAGGTGCCTGAGCGTGTTCCTCTCATGCTGAGTCACAAGGGCACAAGGAAAGGAAGGGACACAACGACGTCTCTCTTAAAGCATTGCTGACCTCACATCTGATAGTGCTTCACTGGCCGAAGCAGTCACGTGGCTGAGCACAAGTCCCCGTGTTTCTGATAATTATACCCTTTCTTAAGAGGAAAGGAGTCAATATTTGCTGAATGCCAGTGTAACCTGCTCCACTGAGACAACAGGTATGAACCAGGACCATCCCAGGGCCTGTGGTTCACCCTTGTCTGGTCTCATGGAATTTATGATCTAACAAGAAAAGACCAGATCGTGTATAGTTTATTTTTTAAAAGTTTTTATCGAAGTATAGTTGATTAACAGTGTTGTTACTTTCAGGTGTATAGCATAGTGATTCAGTTATGCATACATACATATATATATATATATATTTTTAACAAGATATTGAGTAGAGTTCCTTGTGCTATACAGTAGCTCCTTGTTATTTATCAAATTTTATAGAGTAATGTGTATATGTCACATTCTCCCAATTTATTCCAAGAATGTAGTGTTAATTGTGAGTGTGACCTGGGTTGCACTAGGGGAGTGTAGAGTGTAATGGGGGTATAGTTATAGGGCAGTCCAGCCTTGTTGGAGGCAGCCAGCTGAGGAGGTGACATTTACACAAAGGTTTGATGCATTCATGAGTGAGCCAAGCAGAGATGAGCAGCAGGGTAGTGTTGGCAGCTCACGGTACATGGTGCTTCCTGCCTGCTGGCACCGTTTAAGCCCTGTGCACTTGCCAACTCACATCACCCCCGTGAGATGTGCTGTTATTTTCAGTTTATAGATGAGAAGTTGCGATGCAGAGGTTGTTAAGCCATCCGCTGTCACGGAGCTAGTGAGTAAGGAAGAGGTGAGGTTTGAACTTGTAAGTCTGGCGCTGGAGTCGGTTCTCTTCCCCACAGGATACACTGCCCATGGCAGGCAGAGGGGGCCTGGGGTGCCTGGCATTATGTCTGCCGTGAGGAGAGTTTTGGGAGGCCAGGCTGGGGTGCAGCAGAGACCAGACGCTGGAAGATCCCAAAGCCACATGTCAGCCCATCTGTGATTCAAACCCAGGCCTGTCTGACCTCCAGAAAGGATGTGTTTTTGCTGGTACCACGCGGCTGAAGATGATCCAGAGCTTTGTCTAGTCATGGGCCGTTTGAAGATTTGGGGCTTTGTCCTAAAGAAAAGAATGTGTGCTTGAAGGGTGGTGATGATGCTCCAGGCAGGCTGATTGCCTGCTGCCTTCCTTGCCTAACAAGGGAGCTGTGTCAGTTGATCCATAATGTCCCTTCTGGGGCCAACTTTCTAGGCCAGACAGGGTAGCATCTCAAGCCTGAAGTTGGTCTGGGGGCAGGGGTCTCCCCAGGGGCCAAGTCAACTTTGGGGTTGGAACCCAGGAGTCTGGACCCCAGTTCTGGTCTCCGTCCATTGGACTCGCCCCCCCCCCCACCCCGCCCGCCAGGGGCACCCCCTTGCCCGTGTCCCTGGGTTCCTCTCTTCTCTTCTTCAACTTCTCCCTCTTCCAAACAACCCATCTTTGGTTTCTTTTGCCTCTCTGGCTTTGATCACATCTGGAGCATTTTGTAGAGCTGATGAGTGTGTGTTTTCCTGTTGGGACACATGGTGTCTGTCAGGGGCACTTAAGAAGCCTGGCTGAGTGGAAAAGTTTGCCTGGCATCTCGAGGGCTGCTGGCCTGGAGGGCAGGTGGCAGCTGCGTGGCAGAGGACCTGGTATGAGGGCCAGGGGACTCTCAGGAATGCCCTGGAGGCCCAGCTGGGGGCCCGCTGCTCCAAATGGTTCAGTCGTCCTGGTGGATTGGTGCCTGTGTGCGTGTGTGTATAAAGGCCTGGAAGGGCCCCTCCGCCCTGTTGCCATGGGATGCTGCCTTCAGTGCTGTGCTCTCCATGGTAACCAGGGCTCTTATCTGCATGTCCAGGAACATAAACCAGGTGTGGTCCCCTCCAGGTCAACAGTGTGTGATGGATGCCCCACGGGGCAGAGAGGCAGGCAGATACCATCTGTGAAAGGTGATGATAATTTCCAGGGAGCTACCTGGCTGGACCAGTGTGCACAAGGATGGATGAGATGCCAAGCAGGCTTTCCAGAGGGAAGGGGCTGGGAGTGTGCCCGCCTCAGGTCCCTGAGATCAGAAGTCTCTTTACCCACTGCTTGGTGTTGGCCTTTAATCCCCGGCATCCCAGGGATGGGCAGGAGGAAATGGCCGTGATTCTAGGTGGGTACAGATGCTCTCGGCAGGAATCGTGCTGGTGGAGGAAGATAAGTGGAGACAGACTATACAAGGGTGATTCTCAACACTGAGGTCCCTCTTGCTCTCCTTTCTTCTCTTTCTCCCTTTTCTGGGTGGCAGGTATGCCCAGCCAACTCTGTTTACCTTCTGTTTGAAATCTGACACCCAGTTCTTCCAAGGTGGTCTCCTCTGTCCTCCCCTATCCCCCCTAAGTTTTTTTTAATTTTAATTGGAGTCTAATTACTTTACAGTATTGTGGTGGTTTTTGCCATACATTGACATGAATCAGCCATGAGTGTACATGTGTTCCCCATCCTGGACCCCCCCTCCCACCTCCCTCCCCATCCCATCCCTCAGGGTCATCCCAGTGCACCAGCCCCGAGCCTCCTGTCTCGTGCATGGAACCTGGACTGGCGATCTATTTCACATATGATGATATACATGTTTCAATGCTATTCTCTCAAATCATCCCACCCTAGCCTTCTTCCACAGCATCCAAAAGCCCCCTAAGTTTTTTATCTCCAAGCTTCACAGCTGTGTTGAGCCTCCTCTGCCTCTGTGGTCCCTGTGAACTTTCTTCATTTCTCCCCCAATAACCCTTGGATTTTCTTTATCCCTTTTCCTCCCACCTCCTTTCCTTGCCCAGCTCTGCCAGCTCCATTCAATCCTAGTGACATCTTCCAGACCCGGGGACAAGGCACCGCCATCTGGGTCTGCTGGAGGTATTCTTGGAAAGGGATAGAAGGAGTTTAGAGGCCCGGGAAGGGTGGTGCTGGGGCCCGCCCCTCGGAGTTCAGCCTGGCAGCTTGTTTATGCGCCTGCATGTCTAGCAGAGCACAGCCCTGTCTGTCCGTGGCTCGAATGAAAGTGCCGACGCCCCTGAACTTGGTTGGGAACATAAACAGCTAGCGGGCTGTGAACTTGAAGCAGGGGGGAGGCCAGGCTCCCCAAGTGGATGGATTCCAGGCTTTGGAGCATCCCTCTTGGGCAGTGTGTCTGGGAGTGAGGCTCCTGCTTGGTCATGGGGGGATAGAGGAGAGGGGTTGTCCTAGTCTTTTTTCTATTTAATGTATCCTGCTCAGAGAGAGGTCTTGGGAAGAAGGTGGACAGCTGCAGGTGTGGCCTGGGGTGTCACCCTAGATGGCTGACACTGCGACTCCCACTGGGACATGGAGTCCAGGAGCCTATGCCTGAGCTTGACCAGCAGGATGGCCCCTCCTGTGGGAACTGTGACCCACTCACTCATCCATTCCTTTGACGTTCAGAGGACTCAGTGCTTCGGCAAACACCAGACCTGAGGCAGGAACCATCCAGGTATAGGTGCTGAAGCGTCCTGGCCCACAAGAAACTTGTAGTCATCCTGGAGTAAAGATAATCCCATGGATGGTTCCAGATGCTTGGTGAACATGTACAGGAGGCTCTGCAAGGAACAGAAGAGGGGCTTCTGAGTCAGTCAGGGGAGGCCTCCCAGAAGATACAAGGATAGAGCTGAGGTCTGAATAATGACTTGATGTGAAATGAGTGTAGGGGAGGGGATGGGCACCGTGAGTGGGGACGCTGGCAGGAATTGAGGCAGGAAGTGGGGAAAAGCATTGTCCTACAGGGGCTTCCGAGAAGCTGAGCATGGCTGGAATGAAGAATATTTATTCACTTATTTCTTTTTTAAACTTCTAATTTTTGTTGGGGGTATAGTCATTAATAGTGTTGTGATAGTTTCAGGTGAGCAGCGAAGGGATTCAGCCATACATATACATGTATCCATTCTCTCCCAAACTCTCCTCCCATCCAGGCTGCCACATAACATCGAGCAGAATTCCCTGTGCTATACAATAGACCCTTGTTCATTATCCATTTTAAATATAGCAGTGTGTATGTTCCATCCCAAACTCCCTAATTCTCTCTTCCCTCTATCCTTCCCCTAGGCGACTATAAGTTCATTCTCTTGAGTATGTGAGTCTCTTTCTGGTTTGTAAGTAAGTTGATTTATATCATTTCTTTTCAGATTGTTTATCTAAGGGATGTCATATGCTATTTCTCCTTCTCTGACTTACTTTACTCAGTATGACCATCTCTAGGTCTGTCCATTTTGCTGCAAATGGCATGATTTCATTCTTTTTCATGACTGAGTAATATTCCATTGTAAGTATGTACCACTGCTTCTTTATCCTTTCCTCTGCCAATGGCATTTTGGTGATGGCGTTTAGATGTGGCAGTGCTTCCATGTCTTGGCTATTGTAAACAGTGCTGCAATGAACACTTGGGTGCATGGATCCTTTCGGATCATGTTTTTCTCCAGATATATGCCCAGGAGTGGGATTGCAGGGTTATATGGTAGCTCTGTTTTTAGTTTTTTAAGGAACTCCCATACTGTTCTCCATCGTGGCTGTACCAGTTTACAAGGAAGGAAGAGTACTTATGAAGGTAGGGGAGATGTCAGGTGGGAAGGAGAGGCAGGTATCTGGTCATCAGCCTTAACCTCTTAGCTCCAGTGATGTGGAAGAACTTGAAGTACTGGTGAGGTCAGAATTGAAGAGTATTGTTCGATGGATAAAAGCCCTGTAACGATGTACTTTTCCCATCAATGTGTCGCAGTCAGGATGAGGCAAGACTTCATGGGAGTCGGGGCTCGGCTGGGTCTCCAGTGGACCGAGGGTGGAGTGTCTGCTACAGGACTAGCTTTTCTGCCATCAGCAAGTAGAAAGCTGTCAAGTAGATATGTAAAAACTGTTTTCAGATATTAGACCACAGGCAGGTAATCCCTAAAAGAATGAAGTTAGCTCGACAGTCCCTCTGAACAAGACAAAATAAGACAGCAAGACTGTTGACTTAGATCCAACCACATTCAGAATTACATTAGTACAAATGGTTTCAATATCCAAAGTAAGAGGTAGAAATTGTTAGTTGGATAAAAAAGCAGTACCAAAGTATATGCTGTCTATTGGAAACATGCTTTAAGTGTTGTATAAAGAAACAAGTTGGTTAAAAGTAGAAGGGTGAAAAGAGATATACCATGTTAATAGTGATCAAAGGAAAGCTGAAGTGGCTATATTGATATAGACAAAGCAGGCTTTAGGATAAGGAATGTTCTCAGAGATATGGATAATATTCATTTGATAAAAGGGCAACTCATTAAGAAGATGTAACAGCTGTTTTTAGGATTGTGTGTTCCTGATAATAGCTTCAAAATACATGGTACAAAAATGAATAAAACAGAAAGAAGAAAGATGCAGACCCACCGTGGTATTTCAACTCTTTCAGTAATTAATAGAATGAGCAGACAATCAGTGAGGATATAGACTTGGAAAATGTGCTGAATACAGCTCTCTTAATGGATATTTATAAAGCAATGTACCCAAACTGCAGGAAATGCATTATTTTCAAATACGCATGGGCCATGTACTGAACTAAACCATATCCTAGCCCATAAGACAAGTCCCAGTGGTTTTTAAGAATTGAGGTCATATGGCACATATGCTTAAACCATGGTGGGTTTAAGTTAGAGTCTTTCTTTATTAAGGTATAGTTATCCAGAGCACCTTTTCTTTTTAATTTTTATTTATTTAATGGACATGAGTTTGAACAAATGCCGGGAGATAGTGGAGGTTGGGGAAGGCTGGCGTACTGCAGTCCATGGGATCACAAAGAATCTGACACGACTTATCGACTGAACAATAACAGTTTGTTTAGTTATTTTTGGCTGCTCTGGGTCTTTGTTGCTGTGTGCGGCTTTCTCTGTTGTGGTGCACAGGCCTCTCATTGTGGTGGCTTCTCTTGTTGCAGAGCCCAGGCTCTAGACATGTGGGCTTTAGTAGTTTCTGTTCGTGGGTTCAGCAGTTGCAGCTTCAGGGCTCTAGAAATTGGGCCCAGTAGTTGTGGTGCACGGGCTTCGTTGTTCAGAGGCCTGTGGGTTCTTCCTGGATCAGGGATTAAGCCTGTGTTTCTTTCATTGCAAGGCGGATTCTTAGCCACTGGACCACTAGGGAAGCCCCTAAGATTGAGTTCTAACACAGAGGCCACCCTGCAGCCCCTCCTGTCTCCTGTCCATTGTGTGTGCAGGATCACACCTCCCTCAATTCCTGCAGGCCGACTGAAGCCTGAACCATCACCCGCAGTTCTTGTTTGATAGACACTGGGGCCTCGGAAGAAGTTTTGAAGTAGGTGACGTTCATTGTGCTTCATTGCTGAGTCGTATCCGACTCTTCGCGACCCTACGGACTGTAGCCCACCAGGCTCCTCTGTCCATGCAGATTCTCCAGGCAAGAATACTGGAGAGGATTGCCATGCCCTTCTCTAGAGGATCTTCCCAACCCAGGGATAGAACCCAGGTCTTCTGCATTTGCAGGCGGATTCTTTACTGTCTGAGCCACCAGGGAAACCTGACATTCAATAACAAGTGTGAAAAAAGGTAAAGTTCATGCAACCTGTTCAGGAAGTCCCAACTTTTTGTATATTTATATTTATTTAATAATATATATAGAACTATTCTTTTATATTCACTGACCATCTCCTTGCATGAAAGATTTACTGAAGGCAAAAAAACCTTAATACTGGAGATAGAACTTTGTTCCTCTTATAGTTAATGTCAGGGAAACAGAATCCAGAAACTCAGCTGCCCTGGGCCATTTAGGAGTCTAACCTAAGGCAGCATTGCTAGGACCAGGGGTTCAGGCCTCCATGGACATTTATAAGGAAGGATGGATGTCTGTATGAAATATGTCTGTTTAATCTGCATTATTTGAATACCTCTGATTTCACCCAAGGAGAGTCCTTTTCTAACAT